GCACTGGGGGTGCCAAACCGTTGGTGACTATTCGGACCTCGCTGTTCCAACACCACCAGCGGACGTTTGAAAACAGCAGACGCCGGCCCCTCGCCATCATTGGCATCCCATGCGTTTCCAGGTTGAGATTTATTTGATTTGCCGTGATAGGTTGACGAGCGTCACCGTGAGGTTCACGACCTTTGCGCACAAGTAATGAATCATGGCCTGGAGTTGCCGTTGAGTCATCACTGCTTGCGGCACGCAGCTGCCAACGTGTGCCCTGGGGCAGCAGCAGCGGGAGACGGGAGAAGGCAGGGTCGGACGAGGTGACGAGGACAGTGGAGGACAAGTGCGAGGAAAGAGCGAAGCACGTTTAAGGAGGATCGGGAGCAGCAGAAAGGGATGGGCGGGTGGGAGGATGCGGTCAGCGCCGTTTGAATGACAAGCGTCCTGAGGGCCTGCCGCCCGGGTGAGAACCCGATGTGTGAAGGATCCACCGTCCAGTCTGGGAGCTACGAGCAGCGCAAGCAGGCAGGATGCTAGAGGCTCAGGCACTGTGCAGCCACAGGAACGGATCCATCCTCGATCCAGTCTTCGACCCGCGTAAGTGATGCACCATGCCAAGCTCTCCAGTGACGGCCCCAGTTTGAAGAGGACCTGCCCTCCGTCCGTGCACTTGCTACATAATGTGGAACCCTAGGTCGTAGAAAATAGGGAAGCTTGAAACAAGCGCGGAATCTGAAAAATACACCAGCCTCCATCTTTGCATCATTTGGACAATGTCAGAACGAAGTTGCGAGGCGCTGGGGCGAGAGCCGCAGGTTGAACGTGCTCCTATTATTGTAGACGAGTGCGGGCGGCGCTACGGCGAAAGCTGCATTTTGAAAACGAGCCATCCATCATCACCGTATTTGCTCGGGCCTTTCAGAGCGAAGTTGCGCGGCGCTAGCGCGAAAGCCGCATTTTGGAAGCCACGAGCCCTGCATGGTTTGCAACCGTTAGGAACGTTTGGAAAGAACGTTCCCAGCACTATGGCGAGATCCGCATCTAGGACACCACGTGCCCACCACCCTTGCAAGTGTTGGAGGTAGTTTCGGGATAGCACGTCGTAAGGAAATCTGACGTCTGACAGGCACGCATGATGGTGCGACAGGACAGGGGAGTTGTTTGTGAGGAAGAGGGATGGAGGAGCACGGGGATGGGGAGGGGCACCAGAGGAGGATGTGGAGGAAGAATCTGTGGCCAAGGCGGAGGAGGAGGCGGCTGAGGAGGAGAAGGAAGAGCAGGCGGAGGGGGCGGGTGCCGCCGTTCGACCCGAACGTCAGGGCTGCGTTTTCTCGTGTTTGATGCTCTCTTGCTGGCATGCAGCGCAGGAGCTTTAGCTGAGGAGCCAAGTGGAGCCGACAGGATGACAACCACGACAACGACGACTGCGACGACTTTGACGACGACCACGACCACGACCACGACCACGACGACGACTGCGACGACGACGACGATGATGACGCCGATGACGACTTCGACGCCGACGCCGACGACGACGACGACAACGACGACCATGACCACGACGACGACCACGACGACCACGACGACGACGACGACCACGACGACGACGACGACGACGACGACCACGACGACGACGACGACGACCACGACGACGACGACCACGACCACGGCCACGACGACGACGGCGACGACGACGACGACGACGACGACAACGCCGACCACGACGACGACGACGACGACGACGACGACGACGACCACGACGACGACGACGACGACGACAACCACGACGACGACGACCACGACGACTACGTGAGGCCGATCACCAAGAAAACGTGCCTCGGCCACGACGAGAGGACGAGGCCAGGGGGGCGGGGAAGGCCTGCCGCTACGCCCACGGCGAGAAGGCCGGCGCAGGCGCCCCCCTTGCTGGCTCCGCATGCCCCGCCCGCGCGGAGCCCGCCTTGAGGAGGAGGAGGAGGAGGAGGAGGAGGAGGAGGAGGAGGAGGAGGAGGAGGAGGAGGAGGAGGAGGAGGAGGAGGGGGAGGAGGAGGAGGAGGAGGAGGAGGAGGAGGAGGAGGAGGAGGAGGAGGAGGAGGAGGAGGAGGAGAGGAGGAAGGGAGGAGGAAGGGGAGGGGAGGAGGAGGAGGAGGAGGAGGAGGAGGAGGAGGAGGAGGAGAGTCGGGCGGGTGGTACGGTCGGACCGAGGTAGAAGAGCGAGGTCGGTTTCTGTAGTGTGCCGTGTATGACCTCGTGAATGACCTACATGGGGCTGGAAAACAAGACCCTAAAAGGGCCCTTTTCTTCACCCCCCAATTAAGTCACCCCCATTACCACGCGCCCGAGAGGAGGAGAGGGAGGGAGGGGGACCTTGAGATCCGAGCGTTGCAGCTTTTTTGCACCAGTCGTTTTTGCCCAGTCTCGGGCCTCAGGACGATCCCAGAATCGATTTGGTTCTCAAAAGCTGTAGTAGGAAAGATAATGTATTGCATCAGCGCTCTCAAGGCACAGGCCCTCACGCACTTTGACACCACTCACGTTTAATTCAAGCAGGCTCTCAATATTTGCCCAGCGCTTGTCAGCTTCGTGTAGATGCAGCGTACCATTGCAGCGGGTGCCTCAGATAGCCTGCAGCGTGTTCAGGTTACAACACTCGTTCGGAGGGCATCCAGCAACAGCGTTCATCTCATGATTCGTCGCGTCATTTTCGCAGCCGTTTGGGCTCAAGGCCTCTGGCACAGCAGGCTCTGTCTGCGCAGCCCCATCGGCCCCTGCTGCGCTGCCCCTGCCGCGATGAGCCGCGTGGTGCTCGCCACGCTTACCCTCCTGCTCTCCAGCCATGGCTGCGTCGCCGATGGGCAGGCAACGACCATGGAGGAGGCGCCGCCTGACAGACGACACCACCATGGGCGACGGCACGACGAGCGCCGCGTCTCGCACCAGACGCCCTGGCACCGTGCTTCTGGTGCGATTCGCTCCGGGTGCGTCGCTGGACGAGTCCACCGCGATGGCCGACGAGCGCCGTCTGACGGACGCCACCATGGGCGACGACACGACGAGCGCCGCAGCTCGTAGCGGCGCCTTTGGAGCCACGCTCCTGCCGCTCCTCGTGTCTCTGTTCGTGGGCAACGCGGCTGGGGTGGCAGTAGACGAGTCCACCACGATGGCCGACGAGCGCCGCCTGACGGAAACCACCATGGGCGACGACACGACGAGCCCCGCGGCCCCCCGCGCGGCGTTCCAGGCGGCGCTGCTGTGCGCCCTTGCTGCGGCGCTCGGTCTTGCAGCCCAGCGCCAAGATCTGAAAGGGGCATGCCTGTAGCAGAATGACTTCCAGGCTTCCAAGCCTCTCCTCACATGAATTCCATGCAGACCACCCCTGACTTGGCGCAGCGGCAGCGAGCCCTCGCCAAGGCAGGGCTGCGGCCGAGCCATCTTGCCCACGCAGGGCTGGAGGGGACTCAGACTGCGGTATGCGGCTGGTCGCCACCCTCTCCTCCTCATCCTCCTCGTCCTCGTCCCTGTCCTCGTTCTCCTCCTCCTCCTCCTCCTCCTCCTCCTCCTCCTCCTCCTCCCTCTCCTCCTCCTCCTCCTCCTCCTCCTCCTCCTGTTTGGACCGAGGCCAACCCCAGGTTCAGCGGCCCCCGCACAAAGGCGCGAGGCCGCAGGCTTCCCCGGGGGGCGGCCGATCCGTGCTGTCGTCCCCACCCCTCGCGAATTGGAATCGGCGGCGAGCGATGGGGGAAGTGAGAGGGAGAAGGCCTCCTCAGAAGGCGGCGGGGCTTCTCAGAAGGCCCCGCGCCTTCCGAGAAGTTTCTGCGCCCTCGGGGAAGGCTCAGGAAACTTCTCAGAAGGTTTGGGGGACTTCCCAGCCTTCTGAGGAGGCCCGCACTTCGCTCCCAGGCTCGCCGCCGACTGAAGAGCTTGGTGGCGGAATTTAGGAGTTCCGTGCCGGATGTTTGTCTGTGACGCGCGGTCAGAGCTGCAGCAAGTGCCAGGGCCCGCCTGCCGCATCGAGCGCAGATTCTGGATGCCCACGCCACGCCCTCGAACCTGCACAAGGGTCATTTTCACCACAGAAGAGCAAACTAATCGTCCGGTCGCTCGATATCCACGGTGTCGTCCCGTCGAAGAGGTTGTCATGCCACCCCGCTTGCCCAGGCTTGGACGGGCATCCCCCTGGTCCCTCCCCTTGGGCGCGCCCGATCCTCGTCCTCGTGCGGCTCCTACGCCATCGCCGCCGTCTCGATGAACTGCATGCAGCTCAGGCCAGGAGCGCCTGCCCCGCCCGCCCCGCCATCCGAGGAGGCAGGTGGGCTGGCCTAGGTGGGACGAAGACCTCTGGGTACGCTCGTCTCCTCGTGTGGCTCCTTGCGGCAATGTCCAGTATCCCCACGTGGCGGCCCGTGGCTCGTCTCGATCGCCCTCGGAACACTCACGAGCCTGATAAAAGGTCAAGGCCCGTGCCACCAGGGCCGAGCGGTAGACCGTGGCCCCTGGTTCGGCCTTGGTGGCGGGGCCCCATTGCCACCCTAAGTCTCGCTTACTCGCTGGAAGCACCTCCGCTGATCATGTCTGCCAAACGTGGAGTCGCTAGCTTGCAACATCAGAATTTCCATCGGGGCAGCGACAAGCGCACGTCTGTTCTGAAGTACCATAATATTGTGCTGGATCGGCGTGAGCATCATGCTCGGATTGGTGTGCGGGCGACGGGGAGCATAGGAAGGCGAGCACAGCGACCTCGACATCTTCCTGGTGGGCCAGATGGGGCGCCGGAGGCTGCGCCCGAGGTCGAGCCCGAGGAGATGCAACGGCCTCCTGGAGCACCGGCGGGGGCCCGGCAGAATATGTTCCCACATCTGCGCGATGTTTCAACGCGGCCAGTCGCGCGCCGCTGTTCACCAAATCTTGCACACCCTGCCTGCACGCGGAGGCCTTGGGCCAGCGGGGGGGCCCGCTGGAGCCAGTTGGAAGTGCACCGCGCGACCGCACTGGCAAGCCTGCGGCCTCTGGGTACCGTTGTGATCGGGTGCCTTCCGCTGTCGCTCGCGTCCGCGGGCTGCGCGCCGAAACGTTGGGTGGTGCTGGCGGGGGTGTGGCCCAGGTCTGGCTTCCGCCTCTCCTTGCGGGTGGCCGTGCCGCCCGTGCCGCCCCGCCAGCAGCGCGGTGAGGTTTGCATGGCCGCCGAAAGTGGCGGCGGCGTTTGCCTCGTCTGCCGAGTGGTAGGCCAGCGGCGCAGCATTTCGGACCACGCCGCACCTCGCTGGACAGGGGTGCCTTGGCATCGCTCGGACGTGTGCCTTTTTTTCTCGGCGAGGACCATCGGGGAGCATCATAACAAACGCACGCAACCCGAAAATGCACGGGAAATGGACGTCCGAGCGATGGCGAAGTGCCTCCGAAGCCATCCCTTGTCCACCTGGCTTGTAGAATCCGCCTCCCGTCCCTGCACATTTCCCGTCCTCTTTCTCCTTCCCCTCCTCCTCCTCCTCCTCATTCCCTTCCTCCTCCTCCCCCCCCTCCCCCTCCTCCTCCTCCTCCTCCTCCTCCTCCTCCTCCTCCTCCTCTTCCCCCTCCTCCCTTCGTCCTCCTCCTCCTCCTCCTCCTCCTCCTCCTCTTCCTCCTCCTCCATAGGGTGCCTTGAGCAGCAGGTCGGTGTGAAGCTGCAGGCATTGGCATTGCCAACTATGAGAAGTTTGCTCTCACACCCTCCTCGCAAAGCATGGTGCGATCTGCGTTATCCACCTGCCATACATCGTCCCTGGATGCGGTGGTGTTTGATTAAAGAGAGTCCCAGGCACGCATACAGTCAAAACCGATGATCAGGATGGGCAACCTTCCCAAGGGCACCCTTGAATATGTGCCTCTTCTGTCCATCCTTGACTATTCTCGACGGCTTGCTCTGCTCGAAAAGCTTCCACGTGGGCGTCCAAGCGGCTGGCATCCTCATCGCGCATCCTTAATGACAGTTTGACTGTGTTGCCGCCTCGCCAGCGGCGGCTGGCTTCGCCGATCGGGCGGAGGCCGAGCTGCGCGGGCGAGCCGCCATGGCGCGGCGCGCCGCCCAGGCTCGGTGATGCCGCTGATGACCGCATGCTTGCGACTGTTGGCTCCTTCATGGTTGTGTCGGCCACGAAGGCCCCCGCCTCCTCTCCGTGAGGAGGGGCCATCCCCCTCCTCCTCCTCCTCCTCCTCCTCCTCCTCCTCCTCCTCCTCCTCCTCCTCCTCCCCCTCCTCCTCCCCATCCTCCTCCGCCTCCTCCTCCTCGTCCTCCTCCTCTTCCTCCTCCTCCTCCTCCTCCTCCTCCTCCTCCTCCTCCTCCTCCTCCTCCTATAGCATGGCGGACGGTCAGCGATCCATACTTCCCGGGTGGGCCCTCCCCTTCGCTTTACTGCCGCTCGTCGTCGTTGCCGCCGCCGCAGGCTTCGTCGTCTCCGCCGCCGCCGCCGCCGCTGTCGTCGTCGTCGTCGTCGTCGTCGTCGTCGTCGTCGTCGTCGTCTTCGTCGTCGTCGTCGTCGTCGTCGGCGTCGTCGGCGTCGGCGCGGGCGCCGGCGCCAGCGTCGGCGTCGGCGTCGGCGCCGGCGTCGGCGTCGGCGTCGTCGGCGTCGGCGTCGTCGTCGTCGGCGTGGGCGTCTGCATCGGCATCGTTTCGTCGTCGTCGCAGTCGCAAGGCCGGGCTGTCGCGCCCCGCGCGCGCGCGGGAGGGAGGATCAGGAGGAGGAGGAGGAGGAGGAGGAGGAGGACGAAGGGGGAGGCGCAGGCAGGACGGCAGGTAGGAGGAGGGAGGACGGAGGCAAGGAAGATGGAGGGAGGGAGGCTGGGCGGACGATGACGGCAGCAGCCGATGAAGGGAAAACGGCCCAAGCACAAATTGTTGGCGCTCCGCGCGGACTTCTTGGATCCGCGCTGGACCCCCCCGGCGATTCCCATCGGCGCCGCTGCTGGCGCGCTCCGCGCGCCAGGGAGGGGGTTCCAGCGCAGACCCGACAAAATCCGCGCGGAAGCTCATGTGTGTGAAGTTGCTTCCTCATCGAAGCGGCGACCTGTGGCGAGGACGGCGACCACGGCGACGCCGTCGACGACGCCGACGACGACGGCGACGGCGCTGGCGCGACAACGGCGGCGGCGGCGGCGGCGTCGGCGACCATGCCGCGTGAGGCATGGACGGCGTGCAGGTCGCCGCGGAGCCGTGGCGGTGTCCAGGCCGCCGCCGCCGCTGGCAAAGCGCGGGGGCGATCGCCAGGAAGGGATTTGCGGGTTCAAGGTTTTCACGCGTTTTCGTCGGCCCCCGGGGGTTTCCGGGCCTCCCGGGGGAGCGTTCCAGCGGCTGCGCCTCGCCGAGAGCCTCCAGGGTGGTTGCTCGGGTTGCCGCCGCCCCCGTCTCGGCGTCCCCTTGCCCGCACCCCTCGCCCCCAGAGGAAGAGCCCCCGCCCCCCCCCCCCTCCCAGAGGAAGGGGCAGCAGGGGAGAGGGGGGGAGGCAGAGGGGGGAGGATGGGGGAGGGACGAGGGCGAGGAGAAGACATGCGGGGGGCGAGCGTGGGCTCTTCAACCCTGCGCAGTGTTGACGACGCCCAGCAGCCCCCAGCTGGTCTCGACTGCGACAGCGACCGCAAGTCCAGAGCGCTCGCCGGCTCCTCCTCAATCATAAGCATCAACGCCATCATTAATTAGCATAACTCTTGCTCATGTGTTTCATTGCCGCCGCATCACCCTCATCACCATCATCCGCAGCATCATGCTCGCCATCATTGTCCATCTCCTCCCTCCTCCCCACCCCACCTCCTGAACTCTGACCCCAGGGTTCTCCTGAGGCGCGCCCAAACTGGGATTCCGATTCGAATCCAGCCGTGGCGACGAGGGCGCCCCCCGGACGCCCCCCAGACAAGACAGGGAGTAAGGAGGGGGCGGTCGCGTCGGAGCTGATGCTCTCCAGCGACAGTTTTGGGACGAAGCTGGCCCAGGATCTTCTTTCTCCGAGCGCTGCGGTGCATGCCCCCTCCTTCTGGGAACGAAATTTCGGTGCGATGTGGGCATCGATCTGTCGGTCCGTCTGTCGTCAATGTTGCAACGTCCGGGATCGCTTACCATTCATTCGTGGCTATGTGCTTGTCTCCGTCACGGGGTATTCCTGGGTTGCCAGCATTCGCTCCGCCCCCCACACTCCACCAGCGGCCTGAACTGCCACCTCCTTCTCCGCGTCCGCACACGCCTCCGCCTCTGCATCCGGCTCCGCTTCCCCCCCTGCAACCTCCCCCTTCCCGACCTCATCTTCCTCCTCGTCCGCATCCTCCCCCTGCTCCTCGACCGATTTCTCCCTCGTCCTCGTCACGTCCTCCCGGGACGCCGCTCTGGGCTTCCAATCTCGGGCCTCCGAGGTTGCCAGCAGCTTGTCTTCCCGCAGTTCACGCATTGCCTGAACTGCAAGACGGCGAAGCCCGCGGGCCTCCCTACGCCCCCGCCCCCCCCGCGTTGCTCGCCACATGTCCAGTATCGCGCCCCACGGTTACCCGTCGGCCGGACGAAGTGGATGAAAGCATGAAGTAGGAAGTCGTTGGAAGCAGATTGGGCGTCCGCCCGCCCCCTGAAGAGGAGGGAAGATGGAAAACCGCTCGTCTCTTGAAGCAGGAGGGCGCCCAAAGTAGATTGGGATCGGGGCATCCAGCTGTACCTACGTCCAACGACCGGCGCGTACAGCTGGCGCGAGGGCCAAGAACAGGCTCAGCCTTCGAGGAGTGCCCCTAACCCAGACCCCCGACGTCATGATTTTTCAGAACGTCGACCCCTAGAGGTCTCGACCCCTTCCCCGGTTTTTCATCCTGAGTCGTTTTTGTTACGGTCCCGAGGCCCGGTGAGGGCCTCCAGAGGCCGAAAATACTGAAAAACCTCCCGTCACGATTGTTCACGACACGAGAGGCTCTGTGGGAGGTGCTCCTAATGTTCTTCTTGCCTGGGCCCGCCACCAGACGAGTGCTGTTTGCCCAGGATGGTGCCTCATCGCAAGGACTGGGCCTTCTCCGAAGGGGCTTGCAGTCGAGACGCTGAGACAAGGACCGCTTTGGGTTCGGAGGGGGCTCGCTGTTCCTTAGTCGGGGAAGCGTAAGACTCGAGTACCCAGACCCCTTCGCGCTGTGAAGAAATAGTGACGGGAGGTGTTTCGTTATTTTCAGCCTCTGGGGGCCCTCGCTGGGCCTAGAGACCGTCAAGAAACGATTCAGGATGAAAAACCGCTCCTGGGGAAGTGGACAGACCTCCGGGGGTCGACGTGATGAAAAAATCACGACGTCGGATATCTGGGTCGCTGTTTTTTTGCTGGGGAAGCGTAAGACTCGAGTACGCCGGAACTCGGCTTTGCCGACGCTTTTTGACGAGGGCGATTTGGATTTTGACGGTTCAGTTTTCGTGGGATGCTTGCAGCGGGAGCCCGCGTCGAATTTCAAATTGGGTCTCGTCATTTTCTTGATGGCCCAGTCAAACCAACTCGAGTCCCCCAAACCCGAGCCTTACGTCTTCCCGACTTAGGCCTTCCTTTGCCAGTTCCTCGAGCCTTCCTCGTGCATGCAGGCGGTTTTTGGGGCGAAAAGGAGCTTCGTTCCTTATTTCAGCGGCCCGGCTGTTCGTTCTCGGTGCGCGCGCTCCTGTGACCGTGGCCCGACCAGTGCACGAAAGACGTGTCGCTGGCCTCTGCCGCGGCGCATTCCCAGTGGACTTCTTGGTCTTCCCGGGACAGGCCCACGACGTCGCGAGGAGGAGAAGGAGGAGGAGGAGGAGGAGGAGGAGAGGGGGAGGAAGGGAGGAGGAGGGGGGGGGGAGGAGAAAAAGGAGGAGGAGGAGGAGGAGGAGGAGGAGGAGGAGGAGGAGGAGGAGGAGGAGGAGGAGGAGGAGGAGTAGGAGGCGGAGGAGGAAGGGAGGAGGAGGAGGAGATGGAGGAGGAGGAGGAGGAGGAGGAGGAGCCCGTAGCCATTTTGGCTCAAGGACGGAAACGTGGCCCTGCGGCTTCGTATTTGCCTGCAGCCGAGGGGCTAGCTCGAGGCGAGCTGCCCCACAGCAGGCTATTGTCTCGCACAATCTCCACGACGAGCCCTCGTGCGGTCGTGGACGTTTTTCTTGCCAGCACGGCGTCTGTTTGTGTGCGTTCCCGCTCATAGTTTCCGCAGCCATGCAGCGCGCAGGCACCCCAGGCCATGGCTCAGCTGGGGCTGGGTCGGGCCATGGTCCGCGGGCGGTCACACCAGGACAGGACGTCGGCTTCACCAAGTGCAGCCAGTGCGGATGTGCCAAGAACAAGCGCTGGTGGAAATGGTGCAAGCATTGCAAGGCTCCTCTCTCGGACAGTGCGCAGATGGTTGCCATTCGGCCTCGTGGGCCTGGTCGTTCTCCTGGGCCATCTGCTGGGCGACTTCGGGGTGCCCCACGGCGTGGCCGCAGCAACCTCCAAGCAGAAGGCCGACTCGGCCGGCCCAGCAGGCGCTGTTCGACGGACGCCCAGTGTCTCCTTCGCTGATGGTGGCCGCCCTGGCGCTGAACATATCATACTGTCAGATTCCGAATGGCCCGATCCAAATGGCGCCAGTACTGAGCAGAGATGGCTGGCCGAACTCATCAAGCTGCTCAGAGAGAATGGAGACGACACCTCGGCAAACAGGTAACCAAGAGAAGCTGGACAAACTCATCCAGCAGCAGGCCATTGAGAACATCACTGTGGGCCAGGCAAAGCAGAAGATGGAGCAAGCGAGGCGTCCCTTCGCCGTGCCATTGTCTATTGTGAGAAGGTCGAGACCCAATACTTCGATGCCCAGGACCAGGTCCAAGAGTGCTCGGAGACTGGATTTCGCCAAGGATGTCTACAGACAACTGTTCAAAAGCTGGCTAAGGGTGTGGACACCAGCCAGACCGACCACAAAACACAACCCCAGGCAGGGCAAATGTTGCACCTGGCGGCCATCCTCGATGGCAAAACTGTTGACTTGGACGGTGGGGGATTGTTCGGATTTGACGAACTGGGCGAGCTGGTAGCTGCTGAAGACCGTGGGGAGGCTCAAAACAAGAAAGCGGCCCTCCAAGAGAAGTTTCAAGGGATGGCCAAGGAATGTGTTGGCCACGTCCGTGCCAAAGCTGATGAGCTCAAGCAGGAACGCTCGGAACAGAAGAAACGTTTGGCCACCAACGGGAGAAACACGGACGAGGCCCTTGCCGATGGCGGACAGACAGCGACATATGCCCAAGCTGCTCAAACTCCTGTGGAGCCAGCACAACCTGCCGCTGCTGCATCAGGAGGACTTGCTGGAGCAGCTGGTACACCCACTGGACGGAGAGGTACATCGGCGAAGGAAGCCATGCCTAGCCGTGCTTCGCCCTTTATCATCCAGACAGCCACAGAGAAGCTGGCGGCTACGGGGACGTCGGCTGGACCGCCGCAGCATGGGTAACACGCACGTCGGCTGCAGCAGCTACGGCTTTCAGGATTCAGTTGTGGCGTCGACTCCTTCGAGTGCGCGCGGGAATGCTGACATCTACGCCGACGCAGATACGAGCCCAACTTCTTGGCTACCAGAATGGGACTGGCAATGAGAAGATGGGTGGGATATGAAGCCTGTTGCCCCCTTCCTCGGGTTCGGCATGCTGGAGCTTCGGCTGCAACCGCTGGCATGCGTGGACGCACAAGTCCTGCCCTACATCAACGGCCGTGTCGGATACGTCGACGAGGGCATCATCCACGACCTCTTGCCGTTCCGCGTCTTCTACAGTGACCTCGCGGAACGGTGCGCTCACCGGCCCCATTGAGGGGGAGAAAGAAGCCGCCGCGTGACGCGCGCCAGGGGGATAGGGGCACCCCCGTTGTCCCAGCGGCTGGTAGACCGCATGCCCATGGACGTCAAGGCCACGATTGGTCTGCGCCCGGGGCGAAAGAGGTCGCCCCTGCCCCCCGACTGGAAGCACAAGTGCGCCAGCGGGCCCAGAGATGGATCCACAACTTTCATGAGGGACGTACTAATGACGATTTGTTCGCCTTCCAGGACTGGCGCGAGGCCCACTTGAGGCAAGAGTTGCAGCGCCCCAGATTCGCTAGACAGCTGCAAGGCCGCATGCAGAACAGCGCGCTGCTAGCTCATGATATACGCACACGGGCACGGCACAGAGGAGCGCGCAGTAGACAGGCCTTTCTTCTTTGGTTTCGCAAGCTGAACTCTGCGCGGCAGTCTGCGGCAGCTGGGATGAACAGCTACGAGTACTTCAGTCTGAGGCACTGGCTCGAGAACCACAGTCGAGTTGAACCCCCCCCCCCCTTCGAGGCCCCTGCCTGGCCATGCTCGCCGAACGCGCCGAAATGGACCAGGGGCCGCCTCATCAAGCTCAGCACCATTGGCGTCCGCATCAAGCGCAGCAGCCGCAGTTGCTTCGACGGCCCCCCCTGCTGCGTCAGGGGCGCCCGCGACCACGGCCGCGCAGTTTGGAGGCCAGCGCGCTGCTCGCGCCCCTGCCAGCGGGAGCGCAGCGAGAGGCCGGCGGCCAAATACCCAAAACAAGCAAAACACCATATTTGGAGGCTTTTCAAAACGAACCCCAACAAGTGGAATGGATTTCAGGACGTCTGGGAATGGATGCATCTCCAGGGGGAAGTACTTGACTTCGCTTCGATCCAGGAAACCAGGCTCACTTCTGGAGGACCTGTATCGTCGGCTACTGCATGGGCAAGTTTTCGCGGTCTCAATTTTCACCGCGCCCCTGCAGTTCTCACGGGAGACCACCAACTAGCTATTTCAGCGGGAGTAGCCGATGCCGCTCGCCGCCATATTGCGAGCAAACACCTTACGAGTCAGCAGCTAGGCATTTGGCCACACGGGATTGGGAGGGTTGTCGCTACCCATGCTCAGGCGGTGGCCCCTGGATCCTGGAGGTATACATTGGGTCTCCCTGCGTGTGTTCACGGGAATAGGCCGCGCTGGCCTCCACGTTCAGATGCTGGGCGACCTCGGGAAAATTCCAGAACAACTCAAGACCCCGTGGGCCCTGGGATGCGACATCAACATCGACTTGTCGGACCGTGGGCTGTTTTGCTGGCGTTCGCTTGCCGGAGGAACTACCATTGCACCCAAGGCGCCGACATGCCACGAGCAGACCTTGGACTAGTTCATTGTTTCTAGAAGGATGGCCGCTGCCGTCGCCTCTGCGTCTGCTTCATTTATTGTGCCTTCCTCCCCGCGGGCGCCAGTGCGCATGGAACTCCGCAATATCACCCTGGGCCAAGTTATGCATGCTGTTCGGAAACCGTTTCCTACTAAGCCGAACGCCTAGTGTATTCGATTGCTCGCGGAAGCCAATTGGAGCTGGGAGATAAGGAGCTCGGGCCAGTCTAGGTCCTCAGATAAAGTTTAGTGCCAGTGGCTAGAGAATATGAAAAATATGTTCGAGCAGTTCGATTTGTCTGGCGCCGATAGGGCACCGCACACCGGGAGATCCTAGGGGTTCCAGTGGAAGGAGGTCCAGCTCAAGGTGGCACTAAATAGACAATGGGATGCCCACTCTACCTCCAGGGCCCGCACATGGCGCACTTCCCGATCTTCGGTCGCTAGATTCTGGAGTTTCCGGGGCCATCCTCGCGAGTATCATTGCGACCACTGGCAGAACATCCTAGGTGTGATAGCAAAGCTAGAGAAAGACGGCCTCGCTCCCGACCTTGCCCTTGTCCAGCGCTGCTTAGATGACTTCCTCACAGTGGCTGCGTTTGGCGACTGCATGTTTGACGAAATGTCTGAACGAGCGGTCAATGTAGCAGACGGCGCTTCGATCGAGGAGGGAAGGGTTAGACGGCAGAAGTGGCAGAGATGGGCTAGGGAGGCCGCTGGGGGAGGAGGCAAAGCTGCACGCAGGTTTGCTAGAGAAAAAACAACAGCTACAACCGCCAGTAGACGACGTGGGCATTCCCCCCATAGGCGACGCGGCCGCCACCAGCCCGCGCGACCTTGGGGGCGCCATGCGGCATGACGCGAAGATTCGGCTGACAGACGTTCAGCGAGATGCTGCCCAGCACGCCTGTCTGCCGCAGCCGTCGCTCGAGATGATCGATTCAGCCCCAACGCGTTTTCGCCGCAATGTCGGACTAGGAGCTGACTGCATCAACCCGAGATCCCGGCTCCTCTTGGACTCTGTCAAAAGCCGCCTCATGGACATATTGGGCCATTGGGAAGAAAAACTATCGCTCCCGGACAAGTGGCCAATTATGATCGCGCCCGCTGGGAAGCCCGAGTCTTCTGACCTCCAACCCCTGTCTCTGATCACGCCCCCGGGTAGAACTTGGGCTCGGCTTAGACAAGGCCATGCTCGATCCTTGGAACAACAACATCAGATCTCGGCGTTTTGGGGCTGCTCGGTTGAAGAATGCGACCGAAGGTTGGGAACGCAACATTATGACCCATTACGCGGAGACTATCGACTTCGAGACTGGGACCCTGTTCACCGACCTCCAAAATTTCGATGAACGGATTTCGAATTTCAGGTTGTTCGAAGAAGCTGTCGCTGCCGACTTGAACCTCCAGCTTATATATATAAATATATATCTATATATATATATATGTATGCCGCGTGCTTTGCACTCGGGACCTTGATGCCTCGCCTTCCGGGAAGCCATCTCGGATGTATTTCGGACTCATGGAACTATATTGGAAGGATGTTTTCTGGCCACAAGTCTAGTTAAAGTGTTATGTCATCGATTATTGGTTTCGTTACCAGATAAGTTCCCAGCTGTCATAGCAAGGAACGTAGTCGATGATGTACGTGCACAGTGCCTAGGATCATGTCGTTTCGTTGCTGAACACTTACGCGGTGCTGGGCGAGCGCTGGCGACAGGCTATCGTCGCCTGGAGCTGGTCTTGGCAACCCACAAGACCCACTTCATTGCCTCCAGCACCGAGCTAGCGGACTCTCTGAATGCTGCGTGGCAGGACTACGGCATCGCGAGGAAAAAGCACACGGGATCCCTAGGCACGGTCCCCAAAAGGCGAGCGTTGCACACTGCAGGCGCGACATTCCGGACAGGCCTCCGACGATCGATCAAGCTCTTGAAGTTTTAAAAAGCCAGTTCGGAAATAGGCCAAATACATAGATCTGGTCCACAGGCCACAGCTCTTTGGGGCTTAGGTGTATCAGGGCTAAGTGGTCGAGAGATCCACAATATGAGGCGCGTTGCAGTGACCAGCCTTCACGTGGACAAAAAGGGTGCGTCTGTTGGCCGCAAGCTGGCCACTACCAAGATCGGCCGCGTCATGGGCCCCTTCTGCCTCTGCCACTCCCAGGCCATAGGTTTTGGGGCGTGGGCTGTTTGCATTGGCAGGCCTTCACTTGGCATCGCCCAGGCAATATTGGTTTCGGCTGCCGAGAACCTCGAGCGGGTCCATAACCTGTGGGCCTCGGCGGCCAGTCCTGCCCACGTTTTCTCGTTGTCTGTCCAACAGCTGGGCTGGTCGGCGCTTGCTGCCGATCGCCTCAGCATCGACACTAGGGGGGGGGGGGGAATTGTCTCACCCACAGGTTGCGTGGCTGGCCCATAGAGCTGCTCGTAATGTTTCGGATATGGCCACTCAGTAGCTTGGAAGAGTCGCCCGGCTGGACTCCCCCGATTTTCCGGCGCGCCTTGGCCGGGCTCCTGGAGGGCCGCGCGTCGGACACCTGGACAGCCAGGCACCCGTCTAGTCTTCGCTCACTTACTTCTCAGCAACACCGGTGCCAGGCTAAGCAAGAGCGTCACAAACAAATCCGAGACTAATCTTTGCCAGGCATGTAAAGATAAACCAGGGCCGCCGACGTTTCAGGTGCCCACATTGGGCCGCCGACCGCGAGAAGCACTGCAGCCCGCGGCTGCTCCGCTGTGCGGCGGTGCTTCATCTAGCGGGGCAGGGTCGCGAAAAGGCAGCTTGTGGCATTTTCCCCAAGCCAGTAAAGGTTGCGCATCGGCCCTTGTGGAACAATGACTGCAAGATAATATGGATTAAGCAGCCCGAAGTAGGATACTTCATTGGAGATGTTTTTTTAACTGACGGCTCTAGCATCCACCCATCCTGCCCCCTTTTCCAGGAGAGCTGGCGGGTCCCTCGCCCAGCTTGCTGACGACGGCCCCCTTTTAGGATATGTGTGCGTGGCGGTGTCTTGGGACCTAGGGCCGTTCCAGGTGGCGCGAGACGGGGGCGATGTTGCCATCCTCCAGGGTGCTAGAGGCCTCGTGCGAAGCGATGTCGTCTTCCAAATAGACTGCCGAGGCACGATTGATGCTGCCAGTGATAAGCACTTTTCCATTTCGGTCAGGCACTCCAGTTGATACATCTGGGAAGAAATGCATAGGAAGCTCCCGCCCATCAGCGCTGTCGAAGTGAAAGCACACTTGCCAAGAGCTTCCGTTGATGAAGGTGGGATTTCTGATTATGAATGGAGCGACAACCGAGCCGCTGACATATATGCAGGCCGCGGTGCCAACCAGCATCCTGACACCACTGAATGCAAGCACGCACTCGATGCCCTCGGTGGTATTGTCAAGGAATTCGCGCGTTGGGCTGCCACCCAAGAGGTTGCGATGGCCGAGCGTGAAGATTACGACGCCCTTCCTCCCCTTCCTCGTGGGTCATCGGTGTGGAGGTGGGCGGGTAAACCAATTCCCCCTCTAGGAGCTGCCAGAGGAGGCTTAAGCGCCCAACGCGAGAGCTGGCTCCTGCGGCCCCAGAAGAACTCAACACGCCCGTTGCCCTCCAAGGGCACACTCTTAGACAGGCCGAGGTTGTCCTTCCCTCTGGGCTGCCGCCCGCTCCGCCTAAGTGCCCCTCGGTCCTTGTCCGTGCTGCTTGAGGAGGATATTCTTGGGAGGCGGTCCTCAGCCTCGCCAAACCCTGCAATAGGTCGCTACCTACAGAGACGCCTGCGTAAACAGCACAATCGTGCCCGCATGTTGCAGTTCCCCTGTGGCTCTCGCCAGTACAGTGGCTGGTCCGTGGGGGTTTGGAAAACCCCCACCCCGCAGGCGATTGCGGCCATGTCAGCCCCCAAACATGCTAGCGTGTGTGGACGTGTGCGCACGTCTGATTCCTCCGTTCCTGATTTGGCGGTGTGTGTGTGGGGGGGGGACGATAGATCAGATTGCGGCTGCGTCTGGCCTGCCTGCAGAAGGTTTGGCTGGAGCTACCTCGGATAAGGCCGAGGAGGCGATGCGTAATGCCCTCAGAACGTCAGAGGAAGACCAACCATAGCGTGTTGCGTTTGTTCACTTACGTTCTCAGAGGTAGACCTGCTTGAAGCCTTTGATTGCCTCCGGTGCCTCGGGGTGTGCGATGATGATGAGGAGGAGGGGGAGGAGGAGGAGGAGGAGGATGAGGAGGATGAGGAACAGGAGGACGGGGAAGAAGACGAGAAGGAGGAGGAGGCGGAGGATGCGGAGGAGGAGGAGGAGGAGGAGGAAGAGGACTGGGGGGTGGAGGAGGAGGAGAAGGAGGGAGGAGGAGGAGGAGGAGGAGGAGAGGACGACGAGGACGATCAGGAGGGGAGGAGGAGGAGGGGGAGGAGGAAGAATGAGAAGAAGAAGACGAGGAGGAGGAGGAGGAAGAGAAGGATGAGGAGGATGAAGAAGAAGAAGAAGAGGAGGAGGAGGAGGAGGAGGAGGAGGAGGAGGAGGAGGAGGAGGGGGAGGGGCAGGAGAAAGAGGAGGAGGAGGAGGACGAGGAGGACGAGGAGGACGAGGAGGAGGAGGAGGTGGAGGAGGAAGAGGATGAGGAAGAAGAGGAGGAGGAGGAGGGGGAGGGGGAGGAGGACAAGCTAGGTGCGCTCGCGTCATATCTGACATCCTACCCCTCCCTCCCATCCCTTACCATGGCGTAGATCCCCTCTCTACTCGCACAGTCGGATGTCGAGCAGGGCAATGATCCCAAAAGGGTACGCGATGCATTGTAAAGCACGGCATGGCATGGCGTAGAAGAGCACCGCAAAGCGTAGTATGTCACAGCATGGCGTGGCGTGGCGTAGTGAAGAATTGCATCACAAAGCGTTGCAACGCAAAGCATGGCATCGCACTGCGGCCCCGAACATAACATTGCACAGCATGGCGTTGAAGATCAAAGCGTAGCATGGCATAGCACGACGTGGCTTTTCAAGCACTGCATATCACAGCTTCAGCTGAAGGCATGGCATCGCGCAGCGGAACGCAACCTAGCATTGCATTGCATGCCGTGGCATGGCACGGGAAATGACGCCAGCGCTGCATCGGGAGCACGATTGGGAACGACCGGAAGCGCGGAAATGAGGCCAGCGCTGCAGCGGCAAGTTTTTATGTTCATGTCACTGCTTGTTTCCCTAAGTATGTGCAAGCCTGGGCTTTACGATCGCAGGGATCGCAAGTGCACGTCAACATTGTGCAGGCAGGCCACGGCATTCCTGCACCGTGTGCGCCGTGTGCCAACACTTCTGCCCATCAAGGTCATCACGTGCCTTGGCGCAGCATCCGTAGCCATTTTGGCTCAAGAGCCTTGCCGGCTCAGACTGCACGATACCAAGCGTGCACCCCGTGGTGACCAGCGAGCGGAGAGATCAGCCTCGGCAGCGAGGCGTGCCATTGCCGCTTTCTGGAACGATTCTCGGCCACATGCGCGACTTCGAAGGGAGCTACGGGGCCCTGCCCGGAGGCGAGCAGCAGCCTTCCCCGTGGCTCTCCTCCTCCGATGGCGCGCAGGCCACCCTGACGGCCCCGAACCCTCCAGACCGCCGCGACGAGCGCTTCCGCGCGCAGTTCCTCAAGTCCCAGCTGTGCAAGTTCTACGAGACTGGCTGCAGCCGGGGGGGCGCTTGCGAGTTTGCGCACGGCCTGGAGGAGCTGCAGGCCGCCCCCGACCTGACCAAGACCTCCCTCTGCAGGGCGTGGCAGGCGGGGCGTTGTCGCCGGAGCTCGGAAGAGTGTTCCTTCGCGCACGGTCTCGACGACCTGCGGGTGACCGATGTCTATCGCAAGTCGGCGCCGTGCAAGATGTTCGCCATGGGCCGATGCAAACTTGGGAAGAGATGCAGGCACGCCCACAGCGTGTCCGAGATGCGTGCCGCCAGGGGCCGCAGCGCCGGCCACGCCCGGGGGCAGCAGCAGGAAGGCCTGCGGCAGCCCCTCGCGCCGCGGCCGCCGCAGCCCTCGCAGCCGGAGGAGGCCTATGGCACTCGACCGCCGCCGTTCGCGGCGGGCCTCGCAGAGGCGCGGAGCGCTTTCCCGCTCCCGCAGGAGAGCGACCGCAGCGGATGCGTGCACCCAGCCCTCGGGAGTCCCGAGCTGGTGCCTCAGCACATCCCGCTGAGGCAGTTGGTCAAGCGGATGCACCCGTTCGAGCCCGGGCCGAGCGCCTTGGACGCCAACGCTCTTTCGGTCAGTGGTTGGGCGGCGCCGCTTCCCTGGATTCCACAGGCCTCGGTGGACTACACAAGCGGAGTCCAGACGTTGAGTTTGTGAAGCGCTTCTTGCGGAACCACGACTCGTTCGGCTGAGTTATGGCATAGAAATGAAAAAGTGGTAGCGAGATTTGCATACAGGATCTAGGCAGTAGAGGAGCTGCGAGTCAGTTTCACAAACGTCGTATATAGTAAATGAGATGCGAAGGGACGGCGCACGCAAGTGCAAGCTGCGCACGTACGAGCTATATCGTGTGCAACTCTGGTAAGTGCCATGTAAGGTGAAGCCCGGGACACGGTTCTTGTGGGTAGGTTCTGGGCGGGTCGTTTGTTGCATACGGTTTGGAATTGACCAGACGTTGTGGCCACACGTTACCGCTGTGCGAGCACTGCGCCATCGCCCGCCGGTGAGTGATTGTATTAGACATCCAGCCTTGCGCAAGCTGCCTGAGACAGCTAGTCGCAGGTTTCGCGCCGCTTGCACACCGTCACGCCGGGCCCACCGGTTGGCCAGATCCCAGGGTAACACTCTGGATTGGGACCCGTTGCCCGGCTTTTTCACATCGCTGTAGAACCATTTCAAGCATTACGTCTACTATCTCGTGCCCCTTTCAGGGCCGTTCCTTGTGTATTATTTTTCTTGCCGCCAAAGTGTAGTGTCAATGACGCGAGGGTGATTGTTTCTGAAAGGTTGGGAGATCAGCCACTTGTTTTAACGTGATCCCGTTATCTCGTCTATCCCCTCCAGACACAGGCGCCCCTGACGGCAGCCAGAAGAGCTTGTGAACCGAAGCGTTCCTCCGTCTTTCGATGTTGTCGGCCTGCTCGGGAAGGGACGGGGGGATAAGTTTATCCAGATGTTTGGAGGATAAAGGAGCACGGGAAGCGACAGACGATGTTTTTCTCAACCAACTGGAAAGGCGTAATACCAATGCAGCAGACTTGGATAGGCTTCCAACGAGCTGCTGTAATATCATTTTGATTACACGTTGGAGCCGGCTGTGCCCGAGCTCCGTGTGAGAACCCTCTCGGGCAACTTGCCCTCGGCAAATTTGCGCATTGCAAGCGCAAGGTTGCACATTGCATGTGAGGACCAGAGTAGTTCCCCTGAATGGGGCAGTCGGTTCAGATCTGCCAGATTCCCAGAAGGCGCGGGCAGCGACAGACCGACATGCAGACAGACACATCCTTTTAGCTATTACTGTACGCTTCTCTTCAGATAGCATGTTTCTTTTTTGGGTCACGCCGGGGTCATCGAATTCTGGCACCGCTGTATCACCCGGTGGCCACACCAACCTCACTATTGGCAAATTGGTCGTATGGCCGCTTCATGTTGGGGCTCTCAAACGGCAGAGCCCCCGTTTTTCGTAAATCCAAGGGCGATCTACATGGTTGACTTGCCTTTCGTTTTATGTTTTGCGCTGGAGGCGCACACGCTGCATTATCTTGACGCTGTCGAGGCGAACTTCGATGCGTATGCAAGTGTCCATTATATCGACTGGCGAAGGAACAGCATTGCGATACCTTGATTGCGTCAAAATAAACGTGCCTTGGCGCGGCACTGCGCGATCATCCCTCTTGGCTGCAACCCTAGTGTTTCTCAGTTTTCTTTGCCTTCAAACGGACATCTCTTGATTTTCCTCAAACGGGGCCTTGGCACATTCACCACCGAGCCAGAGTAGCAGTACAGCAGGAAGGAGGTCGAGTTTGAGACTCTCGGGTGCTTTCTGGCGGTCTCGAGGGCAATATTGGAGCGGAGGGCGCCAAAGGTCCGCTCGAGTTGGTGGTGTCCTGGGCAATCTTGGGGTCCTCTGGGTTGGGGCTCTCTCTCTGGCCGTCGGGGGGCCCTCTTGGGGGCCTCCTGCGCCATCTTGGGACTATTTTGGGGTCCCCTTGGGACGTCTTGGAGCGTCAGAAGCCTGAAAAGGCGAGAACGCTATAATCGTTTACAAGCCAAGGGACCATCATTGATTTGGGCCTCTCGGTTTGTTGGCGGAAGGACCTCTTGGAGCCTTCTCGGGGCGTCTTGATGGCCTCCTGGGCAGTCTGGAGACCATGTTGGGCATCTTGGAGCGATCTTCGGTCGACTCAGGGCACTCTTTGGCCGTCTTGGCGGCCTCTTGGGGCCATCTTGGCATGTCTGGGGGCCCTCTCTTGCCTCCGGAAAGGTCAGCCCACCTGCTCGCTTCGTCCTCGTCCTCCTCCTTCCCCCTCCTCGCTCCCCCGCCCACTCCGTCCTCATCCTCCTCCCTTCTCCTCTATTCTATTCTCCTCCCCCCCCTGCTCCTCGCTCCCCCGCCCGCCCTCCTCCCCCCAAATACAAAACATCAGACGTCTTGATGTTTCCAATGCGGGGTCCCCAGGACTCCCGACCCCTTTTCCTTACAGCCGGGCTGCTGAAGTAAGGAACGATCAATAAGGAACGAAGCCCCTTTTGGCCAACAAAGCGCCTGCGTGCACGAGGAGGGCTAGAGGAACAGCCATGGAAGGATCTAAGGAACATCCAGCCCCTTCCGACCCCAAACTGTTCCTTACTTCAGCGTCTTGACTGTAGGGCTGGGTTTTCATCCCCAGGCGGTTCGTGGCGGTCCTGGGTCCCGGCGTGGGCCCCCAGAGGCCGACAACTGCCAGAACATGTCGTCGCGACTCTTCGCGGCACGAGAACGTCTGGGCATGCAACAAGGTACCCATACAGCCAAGACGCTGAAATAAGGAACGCCTCGGGTGCGGAAGGGGCTCGCTTTTCCTTCAGCTCTTCCATGGCTCCTCCTCGATCACTCCTCGTGCACGTAGGCGCTTTGGGGTCCAAGAAGGGGCTTCGTTCCTTATTTAGCGTTCCTTCTGATAGTACCTCGACTGTACCGCTGCTCACCAGAACTCTCCCCGGCTGCGTTCTCTGACCAGGATTTCGAGGAGAAGCCAGCTGTGGCGGCGAGGGCCTCCCTGGCGGCCCGCATGGGCCCAAACGAGGGAAGAGAAGCAGTGTCGGTGCGGTGGGGGCGTTCGTTACGGAATGTGCCCAGTAGGCTTTAGACCCTGGAGGATTCCACACCTGAGGAGGGCGGGGGTGGTGTCTGTGGCCAATCCACGATTGGAGTTCCACTAGCCTCCAGACCCTGGATTCCTTACCCAATGGTTGCCCTCACCGTACAGTCGGACCGAGGTATGAGATCGAGGTCGGTTCGGGGAGAGTGCCCTAATGTTCTCAGTGTTTGTTGGATGGTCTTGTGTATCCTGGGGAGGATACCCCTGGATGTTCTGTGTGTTTGGGCCATGTTCTGTATCCGGAGGGTCTCATGTTCTTGAAGGATGCGTTTCTGTCCTCTGCAAAAAGCCTCCTCCCACCGCCCTCCCCGCGCACCTAGACATGGGCGTCTTGATTTGTTCAGAACGCGGCCCCCGAAGCCCCGACCCTTGCCCTGGCATCGGTTCCTCATCCGGAGTTGTTCCTCGACGCTCCTGGGGCCCGGCGAGGGTCCCTGGAGGCCGACGAGGGCCAAAACCTCACGTCGTCCTCTTTGCTACGACGCGGTCATGTCTGGGATCATGTCCGGGCCTTCCCTCTGCCGCATCTGCTCTGCCCCGCGGCCGGCCGAGACGCGGGGCGGCCGGCCGGGGCCGCGGCGGTGGCGAGCGCGCCGGCGGGCGCCTGGGCGACCGCGCCGGCGGGCGCGGAGGCGGTGGGCGGCCGCGCCCTTTGCCCGCCTTCGCCTCGGAGGCGACGAGGAGGGTCGAGTCGGGCATGCCCCCTCTACAGGAGGAATCTTCCAGAGTAGTTCAGAGATAAGCTGTGGGGACGATTGTTGTCCGTGCTCGTTGGACTGTGCTCGTTGATTGCCCGGCAAGTGTCCTATGTCCTCCAAAGCCCCCATGTAGAGGGACCTGCCGGACCTGAGAGGAGGGCGAGTACAGTCGGACCTGGGACAGCAGAACATCCTTCAAGAGCAGGGGTCCAGGCCTCCCCGCTGGGGTCCGAGTGGATGGGGTCGCAGGATCGCGCCGCGCTGCTGTTGCAGCGGCGATGCGGCTCGACGTGGAGCCCGATGTTCTCCACTCGAGTGGCACCGATGTATCGCCGATGCATTGGCATCGCCGATGTATCGGCGATGCGGCGCAATCCTCTGACCTAATCTGCTCGGACCCCATTTAGGAAGCCCCTGACGAGACCCTCCGCCGGCCAAGATGAAGAGCATTCGAGGGTGCCCTCCCCCAGAATGCACAATAATACCCCGCAGGTACGACGAACATAGCAGCCAGCGTTGACTCCAAATAGATAGTGGGTGATTATGGTGATGATGACGATGATGATGACGATGAGGACGATCCAGTTTTCCACACGCGCACACTCGAGTTAGGGGGGAGGCATAGGCATGGGCATAGCCATAGGAATTAGGGGGGGCATAGGAATGAGGGGCGGGGGACGGAGCAATCAGTAGGGTTTGAGTTAGAACTCCTAAAGGGCAAGCCTATTTGGAGAATTTGGGGACCGTACATGGACATTACATTCAAACCCTGTGGCCCAAGATGCCCCCCGACCCCCCGAAATTAATATTGATGGCGTGGCGACGGGGGGGGGCGTGAGTGGACAGAAATGTTCGAACCCCAAAGCACCGCCTCGACTGAGATCAGCATTGATGTCGGGGGCGCGGGGGTGATTCAGAGTCTCCCTCGAATGTGTGAGGGTTCGAATCTATTGTCCATCTACTGGACCCTCCGAACCCACCTCGATCTCATGCTTCGGTCCGGCTCTATCCCGGGGGCGGGCACGGCACGCACTCGCCCGGGGGAGCTCCGCCGAAGGCACGGGCCATCGGCGCCCCTGGACAAACTCAGGAGGGGAAAAACACACAGACAGTTCATCGTCGACTCCCAGGAATATATATATATATATATATATAGGAAAATATGGGAAGTGGGGGGGAAGACGAGAACGCAGAAAGTATGGGAAAATATGGGGACTCCTGTGACTTGCGTATATTTATTTGCGTGCCCCAGGGCCCCATTCATAAGCGAGTGGCGCTCCACACAGGGCCTCGCACTCGAGGATCGAAGGGGCTGCCA